CATTACTGTCAGTATGTGAACTGATAATCTTTGTTTATTGATATCCAGCAATGATTGGGTATATCATTTCATACTACTAATTTAAATTTCATGCACAAATTTTTATGATGGTATTGTATGTCTCATTATTTTTGTGAGTTTAAATCTTGTTGGCCATCTTCATTAAGACTGTTCCTTGATTTCGGTTAGTGTGGTGGTGCTTGTTGTTCCTCATAGTGTAAATAGTGTTCCACCAACCTCCATTATTAAATCTTTCTTTACATCTTTATTTTCCATTAACTGTTGAAAGTGAGCACTTGAGCCCATTTTTCACTGGCAACTTAATCTTCCTTTCATGAATGTGCCTTTCTCTCTCCTTAGTAGGAACACAGTTAATGCTTAATAATAACTTGGTCATATGAATTCATATATAGTGTGTTAATACTCTTACCAGAAAGCTGCCTTTGTTGTGATAAATTTTGATGCATCCTGTACTTGCACTTTTGGTGGTTCTTATGTGTTCTAGAATGAGTTATTTTATCTGTTCTGAAAACTGGACTATGACCTGTGAGACAGTTTCTGTATCTAGTTTTCAAGTATTCTTTTGCTTACAGTGTGTAACCTTTTTCATGAGGCATCAGGATGTCCAGGAAATGGACAACTGTGGTGTAACTTTTTTTTTTTGTTTGTTTTTCCCCTTCCTTTCAGGTTTGCCCTTGTGGGTGTGGGATCGGAAGCATCCTCCAAAAAGTTGATGGATTTGTTGCCAAAAAGAGAATTGCATGGGCAGAATCCTGTTGTGACTCCGTGTAATAAACAATTTCTGAGTCAATTTGAAATGCAGTCAAGGAAAAGTAAGCCTTTCTTATGTGCTGTCTTGGAAAAACAGAAGTTTATTCCAAAAGTAGTATGGCAGTTTTTCTCTCAGCATCTGATAATTTCTACACAGTTTAAAATAGCTATAAAGTACTTACAGTCCAGGTGAATGAAGTTGTGTCTTTGTTTAAAGATGATCCTCTTAAATAAAAATGAAAAAAAAAAATCACTTAATACGCTGAAGAGCTCTTGTTTTGGCAAGAGACAGCACTTACTGAAAAAAGGTTGCAGCTTTGTGAAACTCTGTCTTACTGTTGGAGAAGCTTTCTCAATTTCTTGTGGATGTAATTTAAAAAAAAAAGCAAAAGAGCATTTAGAATTTTAACATTTGTAGACAAACTGGACTAAATTCTGATGTCTGGACAGGCTGTGCTTATGGCAGAACGGGGAAGAGAGATTCTGTGTTGTGCTTTCCTTCAGCACCTTGTCTTGTGGTTCCCAGTCCTAATAGTTACTGGCTTTGGGCTACATTAAAGGAGGGGCTGCATTAAAGGAAGGACTGACAGTCTCCCCAGATGCTGTTCCATTAATATGGGGCATACTGGAACGCTGACGTATTTTAGCAAAGCACTTTTTCCTCCCCAAATGCTTTGGGTTTGGGTACTGAGGAACATGATGGTGCTCATAAGCTCATGTTCTAGCGCTGCATAAAACTTCAGATCAAGTGTTGAAAAGCTTTAACCTATTTTGATTCACGTATTTACGCTTTTGCTTTTCCATTGCAGCCACACAGTCTGGCCAGATGTCTGGGGAGGGTAAAGCTGGTCCCCCAGGAGGAAGCTCACGAGCAGCATTTCCACCTAGTAATAGAGGGCGAGGCCGTTTTCCAGGTGCCATTCCAGGTGGAGACAGATTCCCTGGACCGGCAGGGCCAGGAGGGCCACCACCACCTTTCCCAGGTAAAATAATTCATATGTGGAGTTTCAGTTTCATCTGTGGGGTTTTTTTTAATTAATGTGGCATACTTATTTGGGAAATTATAAAGATAAAGGCAATTCAGTAACGTGCTATAATCAGTGTTCACAGCTGGATTGTAGGATTCAACAATATTTCTTTGTTGATATTCAAACAGGGAGTTGTACTTCCTAAATTTGATAGCAATATAACAACATCTTTTAGAGACATTCTTTGTAATGTGTCAATGTACATATTTTTAAAGTATGAAAAAATAAAGATAGATCAGGTTAGCAAGTAGACTTGTCTTTAGTACAGTGTAGTTCAGATTTTCTGAATTGCTGTATGGGGTGAGAATGCCTGTGTTGCAGAGCACAACGTAACTCTTTTCCTTACTGCATTACAAGTTTGCACATCATCAGAAATTCAACTTTGATTCATGCCCACTGACAGGTCAGTTAGTTGGCACTTAGAATACCACAAATTCGAAGAGGAGGTGTTTGTCTTTAGTCAGGTATCTTATATGGGAGAAATCTCTGTTAAACAATCAGGCTTGCGTTGCAGTCAAGTTCTTGTTTCAGCCTAAGTATTTTTAATAAATGTCATTCAGTAGTAGATTGTTTACTAACAGTCAAAGGAACACGGTCAGATTGAAAAAGCACTAATGAGGACCTGAAAGTAGGTTTGGATACTGCATTTACCATATCTTCTCCAATACAGCTTTTCCCATATTTTTAATATATATTGTATCTTATGCCCCATTTGAAAGACTAGCTGCAGGTCTAAGGAGGATGCAATGTTTTCAAGTTTTTGTAAGCTTTTGGGGGTTTTGGTAACAATAGCAGGTGGTTAAGTGATTGGGGGGTGAGTTGTCAGTTTTCAAGTTAATGTTCTTTTAACATATTGATAATCAAGCAACTGTTAAAAATTTTCTAAGCTGCTGGACCCAAAGTGGGACCATGCATGTCTTGTGTAAGTTGCAAATTGTTCAGTGAGGGTTGTTTTTGGTTTTTTGTTGTTTTTAAGAATAAAAAGGCAAGAATTTTAATTATTTCACTAAGTCTTTTATTTCTTTATATTTATTAACTCTATTTTAT